TTTAGCACATGTACTTCCTCAAGTCATAGATTTTCACATGCTGCGCATGCGCAGTATTAATTGTTATACTGTTGTAAATGTTATACAGTATTAATTAATTCTATTGTATTAATTTTTGTGGTTAAAGTCACCCACGAAATCTGCGAAATTAACCACCCCACAAAATTCTATACCCATACAGTACATGTACATGTATATTGCTAGTCTGTCCAATCCCTCCTATTTACAAGTGTCAAAAGGGGAGGGGCTGGAGGAAATAAAGACGTCCACTCTCTTACCACATCAGAAGATGAAGAGTATCTTTTGTCAGACAAAACTTCAGCCGCCATCCATTTGACAGGATAAGCAATGGTCTCATCTCCCCCTCCTCCTCTCTCTTCTATTGTATTATAATCTTCTGGATAAAAATCCCAACTTAACCCTCTGTCACCAATCTTTACATGTAGATTCTCATGAATACTATTAATTATAAGTAACTCCACCCACTTTAATTAATACTCTTACTATATATTCCTACATGCCAGGTCTTTATGTACTTGCCCTTTTCTAGTTAAATGGTACATTCCTCTGGCCACTTGTTCAGATATAAATACAAGATCATGTGTTGATATATATGTACACTGACCAGACTGGAGAGGGAGGGAGAGAGAGGAAAGAAAAAGAAGAGATAAATAAATACAGTAAAGACATACAAAATACATACATGTATGTGTACACAGGCAGGGAGGAAGGATTAATACTTAAAGTATCACATACATGTACATGTACAAACATAAATATAAGTACATGTACAACAGTAGCAAAATACATAACAATGAAAAGGGTATCATGTAGCAGTCTGACGTGTATATACATGAATAGCAGTATATGTGTATGTGCATAAATTACATGTACAGTATATGCTGTGATATAGCAACTAGTATGAATGATGACCCATTACCAATAAAACTCCTATTGTTATGATCCAAATTCTACTCTACATTGCATTTAAGGAACTAATTGTCACATAGAGCAAAATCTGTGTCCTAGTACATATATGACTACATATACTGTACACAGCAGGTGTGTCATTAGGGGAGTGTATTTGGATGCATTGGCACCCATAATTGCTCAAGATGCATCCAGTAACTGAGTGAATCTATTAGAGTAGCCTTCATGAATCATTTTGTGATGCTTAAGACACCACTGACTGTACATGTACCATCCATGTACTGTACTAAGACATGTATAGAAGGGAGAGAGAGAAAGAAGAGAGGGAGGAAAGTACAATGTAAACACGTCATTGTCCTAATATGAAATATGATACTTTCACAACAACCATTAAATACCTCATGAATTTACATTATATTCTGTCACGCTATATATGAATATGAAATAGAATAAAGAGAGAGAAGTATATGTACATACTTGGTCCTTGTATTGCTGATGATATCTCTTGTGATGTTATTTCAATGTATCTGTAGGTAGGACAACCTTGAGAGGAATGAGAACCATTTGATGTACAATCAGTATCAACTTGTACCTACATGTAGAGGGGAGAGAGAGAGGGAGGGGAGAGAGAGGGGGTGAGGTGGGAAAGAGAGAGAGGGGGAGTATAAAGAGTTTGAAAGCGAAAGGAAAGTTAAAAGTGATCAAAGATACAGAATAGATAAAAGATAAGAGAAGAGGAAGAAAAATTATAAGCAAAAAAAAGAAATAAACACAGACAGAGTGAGAGTGAGAGGGGTGAGGGAGGGAGGGAGGGAGGGAGAGAGGGAGAGACAGAGAGACAGAGACAGAGAGACAGAGAGACAGAGACAGAGACAGAGAGACAGAGACAGATATGTACTACTCACAACATATCCAGGAGCTACATATAGTGACATTTTAATTCCATTCTCGACTCCATTGGGTGGTATCCTCCATGATGATATATTACTAGTGCTGTCACATATCAGATACAAGTCATGATCAGGGCTTCCTTCATTATCTGTAAATGGTATGAGAGTATATAAACAAATGGAGAGTAATTGTGTATGCTAAATGTATTAGTAATACCACAATAATGTACAGTGTACAGTGGAACACAACCTGTTTACTACTTTATCATCTTTTATATCTCCCCCACCTCTCTCTCTCTCTCCTCTCTCTCCCTCCCTCTCTCTCTCCCCCTCCCTCCCTCTCTCTCTCTCTTCCTCCCT